TTCCAGTGCCAGTGAGTTATCTTTCCGGCCGCAAGAATGCAGGACTAGGACTTTCCAGCGATCGTATATCACCCCAACCTCGTCCCACGTACCCACGATCTTTGCTCTTGGCGAGGGGAGAAAAGATCCTGGTAGACGCTGGTCACGTGATCTGCTAAAATCTAGCAGATTTTTAATTAGCAATTTAAGATAAGGTCAATAAATATTTGATATTGGGATAATTCTTATAGTTTAATTTATAATTTGCTTTTTGTATGATTGTCGTAAAGGAATCCAAGATAGTTAATTAGAAATCTACTAGATTTTAGCAGATCACGTGATTCTCCACAAGAGGAAAGAACCTGGTTACGAGGTTGATATCACCCGCGTCACCAATCTCGTTCCCCGAGCCTGCGATCCTCGGGAAGGAATGCGAGGCTCTGGGATAATCCGTTGCCGGAAGCCAGGAATCCTGGCTAAGATTGAACTGCGCATTCCATTTCAACGGCCAATCAGATTCCTCCCTGAAACGGATTATCCTAGCCTGCATGGCAGGCGGTATTTCTACGGGCAGCGAAAATTAGGGAAGCAAAGGAAATACCGTCTGCCGCAAAACTAGGGGTTTTTGAATTACCCGTCCGCTGGTGAACGTGAAAAACGGATTGGTTAGTATTTTTATGTAGTTGTCAATCAACGGCTAAATTCGGTTAAATGTTAATCATTAACCAAATGTTTTGACGTTTTGAAACTCTGCGGTTTGAAATTAGTTCACGTCAAGTCAGACCAGAAATGGAATAACATAATAAAAGAAGCAAATTAAAAGATACAAGCTGAAAAATAACACTCTAAATAGTGTTTTTGATAGAAATTCGAACAAGAATATTTAACAAAGAAGATACGTCCGAAGGGGCCGAAGTTATGACCGGCGAAAGGTATGGGCAAACATTTTACTAAAACTATCGATAGAAATTAGGAGATATTTCTTCACTGAATCGAACAGTGGGATTTTCATATAGGCCTATCATGTTCTGAACCAAAGATACTTGATAGATATTATATACGAACCTCCAAAGTATAAACAAGGGGCCGGTTGATGCAGTCATTATCAAATAACAGTTAAACTCTTATATACCCGTTGAATATGTATAGTTGTAAACAAATAAAAACTATCGTTCTATAAGGTTCAATACTTTCAGTTTGGTTGTTGACTGATGATGAATCTATAGTATAGACTTGTATTCTTTGTATTTTGAGCTTATTAAACCACCGTTTTAAGGCAGCTAAACGGGCTTGGTTTATATTAACACATAAAATAAATTCCTTGATTCTCATCACTAGACACAGTCTACACTTTGAAATGTCGAAGACAGTGGGAGATTTATTTCTTATATTTTATATTTATATAATTTATATATCAATAGTTCGTATCTCCACGAACAATGACAGAATGACTGAGTTTCTTTAAAATACAATGAAATTTCACTCAAAATTCTGTTTGTTTCAAATTGGAAGTTTAAAATGGCAATAAAACCTCTATATAAAATATGAAAAAATTAACTGTCTTGAATTATTTTGTCGGGCGGTACATTTATATTGTATAACGAAAAATAAAACGTTTTCACGAGGATTTTAAAATTCAGTCGGGCGGTGATGAGAATCAAGGAATTTATTTTATGTTTGGCAGTTGGGACTTGGGAGCAGCTTGGGAGTGGCTAGTCTGCGCACAGACTGTCTCTTCCCCCCCGTGGTGGAAGGATTACATTATTATGTAATCCCGCGCGGGAGCGGGATGCAGTCTGCGAGCAGACTAGGGAGTGGCTAATTTTGAATATTTACTTAATTAATGCATCTATAAATAGCGTTGATGCTTCAGGGGCGGTAGTTCATTTACACCCAGTTTTGCGGCAGGCGGTATTTCCTACGTACCGCCTGCCATGCAGGCTAGGATTATCCCAGAGCCTCGCGTTCCTTCCCGAGGATCGCAGGCTCGGGGAACGAGATTGCCGCGTCACGAGAGTTTGGAATTGTCTACCAACAGACTTAAGAAATCCTAATTATTTGCAAGACCATTACTCGAGAGTTTAAGCCAAACACGGACTTGAAAAACTGTGCAAATAACACTTATTCTGCTTCCATAAAGACTTGTAAATAATGTATATAAAGTAAATAAATACATTGTCGACAAATTAATAAATAATAATTAGCTATAAATATTGAATACGAGCACAAATTGAGTTGATGAGCTCAAATTTAATTTTTTCGCTATGCAGGGTTATTAAAGCCATCTGTGACTGTATCCAACAAGCCTATTTATAGCTATAGCTATGGTCTATAATACATGCACCCTTTCGGAAAAGTATGTCACTATCAGTGGCGGAAATTCACTTTTTCCGGTGGGGGGGGGCAAAGCCTCCTAAATTTCCGACAACCCCCCCCCCCAATTTGCACTCGAAAAGACTGTTTTTAGCCCTCTTGTAGGTCAAAAGGGGGGGGGGGGCCGTCCCGCCCCCCACCACCAAGATTTCCGCCACTGGTCACTATAGAGCCTCGTGTTCGTCAAAAGCGAGGCTCTATGGTCAAAGTGAGGAACTTTCCGGTGCATCAACAATTTCTCTACAAATTCTCACCACTCAAATACTTGAGAAATGAACGTTATCCTCTAGGAGTCGTTCCCAAACAACTTTCATGTTCAATGTCCATTTCCAGTGTACGTTGTGTTTCATCATTTATAGTTGCGGCAGTGTTATACCCAGTTGGCGAGGAAGGACGGCTTTCCAAATCTCTTGTCGACCTCGCTGCCATGTAGCTGTCGATGAAAGGTGAAACCACTTGCCATACCTGAAGTAATATTCACGATGATATGTTAAGCCCTGGTCAAACGATGATGGGAGTTGAGAAGCGAGAGTTTGCATGCGAGTTTTCTCAACTTTCATACTCCTGTCAAACGAGAACAAGAGTTGCATGAGAGTTGATGAGAGTTGAGAGGCGAGAGTTTGCATGAGAGTTTTCTCAACTCTCATGGCCCAGCTTAAATCGACGAGGGTTCAATTCTCATCCTCCAAGGCTTTATAATTTTGAAGTAAGTATGGATATGAAATAAGCAGGACAAAAAGCACAAAATTTTCATCACAGTGGAAGTAAAAAACTTCTAAAGCTTCTATAGATTAATCTCACCTTTTCAGACCTCAAAAGTTCTGTGACTTTATCGATGTCCGGCGCCATCCGTCGGTCTTTGTCCCAGGTTCTGCGCATTAACCACAATAAAACTGTTACTCGTGCCTGCCTGTTACAAACTTTCTACTTACGCATCATTGTTACTCTTATGTTTGGCTGTTACAAACTGTTACTCACCTGACATGTGATCGAACCAAAGCGTAAACAGCTTCTAGCGGTTCTGTCGTTGTCAAGGGACGTAGGAGGTCGATGGCTTGACAAGCTGCCAAGAGTTCAACAGCAAGGACTGAGGAAAACGAAACACAGGTCAATACACCCTTTCGATAATAGAGAGGTTAAGATACCCCGGTTTCGGTGTACGGGTACGAGTAGTGTCATCTTGTTTTACTGATGATGTCTGTAATTCGATCATACTTTTTCTGTTTTCTTGCAACAGACAATGATATAATGCGAAAAATATGCACCTTAATTACGAGTAAAGATACAGACATCGACGAAAATATTGCTAACCAAAATCATGCTACCCGTACACGTACACCGAAACCGGGGTTAAATGGAAAGGATTCCAAGATTGTTTCTCATGGGCTATGCACAGAGAAGCAGAACATCCTTCTTCAACACATGCATGAAAAAGAATTCTTTATTTTGACCAATCAATGTGGAAATAAGCTTTAACACGAAAACGAGGCTCCCGGTCATGACCTGGAGCCTCGTTTTCGTGTTAATGCTTATTTCCATATTTATTGATCAAAATCGAAAATCTTTTTTCGCGCATGTGTTGAAAAAGGATGTTCTGCTTCTCTGTGCATAGCTCATGAGAAAAAAACTTGAAATCCTTTCCATTTAAGGTGGTCCTAAGTTGAAAACAGTGTAGTTGTGACGTAATTATCGAAAGGTTGTATTGCAAATCACACTTAGGAAAAGGCCTGGGATTTTTACTCGTCTTATAATATTGGCAGTACCTTTTTCAACATTTTCCACAACCTTGACAGCTTTTCGCGCGGAGAATCCACCCATGGACACGTGATCTTCAGTTCCCGCTGACGTGGACAGTGAATCGACCGAGGACGGATGACATAGCACTTTGTTCTCGGACACTAAAAAAGAAAGTATAACATCGAAACTGCTGCAAAATTTATAAGCCAATCCATGCTGACAGCTTTTTTTTTCGTGGGCCGTCGTAAAACTGAAAGAAATAGTTACCTAACGAAGCAGCGGTGTAATGTGCAACCATGTACCCTGAATGAAATAGTTGTACAACATAAGCACTGGTTAAGCTGGAGTTAGACGAGCAACAAAATTGCTGCAACTTGCAACAAAATCTGATTTCAACGCATGTTAAGTAGAAATGTCGACACATGTTGCCTTGTGATTTGTAATTTATGTGTCAACATTTTCAATTAACATGCGTTGAACTCAGATTTTGTTGCAAGTTGCAGCAACGTTTCGCACAATTTCCTACAATCAGAGTAAATCATGTCTAAACAACCAACCTGAATTAAGTCCGCCATTTTCAACGAGAAACGCTGGTAAGCCACTGTAAGCTAAAAACAAAATTCAGTTAAACAATCATTTACGCTGTCTACCGAATTAGTCTTTATTTGAAGCCAGGGTGTTAGTGATATGTACAGATATTTATACAATATAAACCTGGGTTCACGAGTCTTTCAATACGACGTTCACTCATGTTTGCTAATTCATGCACGCCAATAGCCAAGTAATCCAAAGCCTATGGAACAGAATTAAGAAATGGCTTTCAGTATAGTTCACACGCAAACCCCGACAGCTTATTCAAAAGTAATCTGCCAAAAATATACTAACTTTAGCCGGGTATTCACCGTGAAAATTCCCGCCAGAAATCGTTTCACCTGATTCGGCAAATATCATCTGATATTAAGTAAAGGATTAATATGCAAGAAACAACTATTGAAGAATATTCAAATTTCTTTACAAACACAATGTCCTATAGTCTCTGAAATGGTGAATACTTGTACAAGTATAGAAAAAGATACAGGGTTATCAGTGGCACTATTCATTTCAGTGGTGAGGATTCCCTTAACAAACTCGATAGTGTCCAACACTATTCCATGAACCTATGGAAAAACATTGAACACTTTAGAATTTTGTTAATTGAAATAAACACTAAACTTACTCTGGGGTGGTAACTCAACCTAAAATCGCCGCGAGATAATGCGAGTTTAGGCGATTTAAGCAAAAACTGCAACTTTTCAGCAACGCGAGTTTGGGCGATTTAAGGCGAGGTAAGATCCCAGAGTAGGCCTGTACAACATCGGCAACGTTTCTATGTCGTTATTCTGATACCTGCGGACAACATCGCAAAGTATAGGCATCTTGGACTCGATGACACATACGATGGCTTTCTAAAATGAACGTGAAGTTTACTATCACTAGTTGATGGATACTTTCTAAGGATGGAGATAGTAGTATATTCTACATTAAGCCGCCCTGGTTTGTGTCTGAACTACCTGAAAAAGATACCTCAAAACATTGAAGTGGTTTTAGTGGTTCAGACACAAACCATAGCAGCTCATTGCAGCAAAGTCGAAAAGTCGAATACGAGCGCGAAAGGCTGATAGGAATCGCTAAAAAGATTCATTAATGTTCTAGCGATTCCCAGCAGCCTTTCGCGCTCGTATTCGACTTTTCCGCTTTCCTCGGGGACAACCTTAATTGAAATAGCTGTATACATTGAATAGAAAAATACCCACCAGCAATTTTAGAAGGATGAAATTCTGAATGCAACACAGTTCTTAACCTCTGCGCAACCGTTATTTGTCCACGATGAGGTCGCAGTTTGTGTATGCGACTGTCAAACGCTCTTGATGTTCCTTTCAAACAGTCCAGGGACATAGCAGCGATGACGTCAGCTTGGCGAGCGATGGCAATGGCCCGAGCTAATGCTGAAATAATAGTGACAATATAGTCAGTCGAACCTCTCTAAAGTCGCCATATTAGAGGGGTTCATATTAGAGAGGTATCCGTATTAGAGAGGTGTCCACATCAGAGAGGTGCCCGTATTAGAAAGGTGTCCGTATTAGAGAGGTGTCCACATCAGAGAGGTGCCCGTATTAGAGAGGTGTCTACATCAGAGAGGTGTCCGTATTAGAGAGGTGTCCGTATTAGAGAGGTGTCCACATCAGACAGGTGCCCGTATTAGAGAGGTGTCCACATCAGAGAGGTATCCGTATTAGAGAGGTGTCTACATCAGAGAGGTGTCCGTATTAGAGAGGTGTCTACATCAGAGAGGTATCCATATTAGAGAGGTGTCCACATCAGAGAGGTGCCCGTATTAGAGAGGTGTCTACATCAGAAAGGTATCCGTATTAGAGAGGTGTCTACATCAGAGAGGTGCCCGTATTAGAGAGGTGTCCGTATTAGAGAGGTGTCCACATCAGAGAGGTGCCCGTATTAGAGAGGTGTCTACATCAGAGAGGTATCCGTATTAGAGAGGTGTCTACATCAGAGAGGTATCCGTATTAGAGAGGTGTCCACATCAAAGAGGTGCCCGTATTAGAGAGGTGTCTACATCAGAGAGG